AAAATTAAAACAAAACCCAAAAATTTCAGTAGAGACATTAACTTTCGTGGTTGAGTTGGATGAGAAACAAACCAAGTCTCAGTTGGTGCTCATCTTCCTCTGGCTGGCACATATTTAAAAAGATTTCATGGTATATTTATTTGTAGAAGCCTAGTTTTTTTTCTTCATTTATGCTAAGCACTGTATTATATGCTTGAGGAATGTTGTCATTATTTTGATTCTTTTGCTTTAATGTTTTCCAGTTGCTGACTGTCTGATGGGAGTCTATCTTTTCTTCCTGGGGATATTTGATGTGAAATTCCGCGGCGAATATAACCGGAATGCTCTTATCTGGATGGATAGCGCGGAATGCCGAACGATTGGCTTCCTCGCCCTGCTCTCCTCTGAAGTATCTGTTCTTCTCCTCACCTACTTGACACTAGAGAAATTCCTAGTCATCGTTTTCCCGTTTAGCCATCTGCGGCCCGGGAAGCTGCAGACGGTGTTGGTTCTGGCCTTCATCTGGATTCTGGGATTTGTCATAGCAGCTGTTCCCTTGCTAAATGAAGACCTGTTTGGGAACTATTATGGGCGAAATGGAGTATGTTTTCCACTGCACTCTGATAGGCTGGAGAAACCAACAGCCAAAGGATACTCCACAGGGATATTTCTTGGTTCGAGTCTTTTCTCTGATTTGATGTTTACTAATATATTGAAGTGTTTTCATGTATTTAGTAGTTTTGATTCTTCTATTAATATAATATAATATACACTACCAGTCAAAATTTTTAAATATTTAAGCTTTTTAATGTTTTTGAAAGAAGTGTTATGCTCACCAAGCCTGCAGTTGTTTTATCAAAATAATATTGTGAAATATTACAATTACAATTTAGAAGAAATGTTTTCAATTTGAATGTTTAAAAATGTAATTAATTCCTTTGATGGCAAGATGTATTTTCAGCTGCTATTACCGCAATCTCTAGTGTCACATGATTCTTCAGAAATCATTTTAAAATGCTGATTTGGCACTCAAGAAACATTATCAATGTTGAAAACAGTCATGCTGCTTAATTTATTATTATTATTTTTTTTTAATTATTTTTATTTTGTGGAAACCGTGATAATTCAAAAGTCTGGGGCAAATAAGATTTTTTTTCTTTTTATTATAAGAAATTAATACTTTTATTCCTCAAGTATGCATTCAATTGTTAAAAAGTGACAGTAAAAACATTTTTTAATGTTACAAACGATTTTAAAAAGAAATGCTGTTCTTTGTTCATCAAGAATACTGAAAAAATATATTACAGTTTCCACAAAAATATTAACTGTTTTTAACATTAATTATAAGAACCATTATTATTAATTGAGCACCAATAATAATTGATAATTATTGAGTACCAAGTCAGTATATTAGAATGATTACTGAAAGACACTGGCTCTTTCATTCGACACTGAAGATTGGAGTAATTAAGCTTTGCCATCACATTTTTTTTTCAAATAGAAAACTGTAATAATTGTAATAACATTCCACAATATTACTGTTCTTTCTGTATTTTTAATTTTAAAAAAATTAAAGTGAGTATAAGAGACCTTTTCTCAATCCAAACTTTAGACCCATAACATAACATAACATAATATAACATAACATAACATAACATAACATATACTGCAATATCCGATCACTCCTTTGGATAGTGTATACTAAGTAAACTGGTAGTATACACCATCCAAGCTTATTACTTTCCTATGTCTGTGTTTATGTGCAAATCCTGAAATATTTGTGTATTGTGTATTCACAGGTCTTAATCTGGTGGCGTTCTTGGTGATTGTCGTTTCCTATTCCAGCATGTTCTGTTCCATTTATAAAACCGGCATCAATACCACAGATGTACGCAGTCGGCTACAAAAAGATGTGGCCGTGGCCAATCGCTTTTTCTTTATTGTGTTCTCTGACGCCCTCTGCTGGATACCCATATTTTTGGTCAAAACTCTCTCTCTGCTAAAAGTTGAGATTCCAGGTATGTCACCTGAATTCCTTCATCCCCCGATTTATTTAAAGGTGGCATGTTTTTTTTTTAACAACATGGTTAAAACAGGCATTTTGCTGACAATTCTATTAGTATTTCTTTAAGTTTACACTTATTTTGACTTATCAGTTATGGTGAAAAACGTCAAGTTTTTACAGAAAATATTGTTCATGAATACTGACAGTAAATAATGTATGGCTAGCTAAGGCTGGAATTATTTATCTGGACATATTTGCGCGGATCTTCAGCCCCATAGCATTTTGAATGCAAGGCAGTTCGTGCAAAATTTATTTTGAAAGCGAAATATGTTAATAATAAGGCTAATTTCAGTTATATATTCCAATAAAAGTTTTAAATGATACATTTAGTAAGGACAAATAATTGTTGGTATTTTGTAGGCATTATTGGACTTATGTTATTTTGTAGGCACATATTTAAGACATGGTTTCGGTCCTGGTATTTTATTTTTTAGAAATAATAAAAATAAATACAATTTAAATAAAAGCAGTAACCTTTTCAAATTAAATTTAAAAAATGTAGATTATACTTTTTCTTCTTTTGTGCACAGATGGCACTGTTTCTTGAAAATGACCCCGCTACCTGTGGCCAAGTGTGTCACAGAATTTGCCGATTCTTTTTTGTTGACATTTGCTCTATGTTTATCTGTGCAGGAACAATAAACTCCTGGGTGGTGATCTTCATTCTTCCTATCAACAGCGCCCTTAACCCCATCCTCTACACCCTGACCACCAGCTTCTTCAGAGAGCAGGTGGAGCTCCTCCTGTGCCGCTGGCAGCGGCGCTCGGCATCAAAGAAAAACCGTAAGAGTCTCACCAGCTCCACCATCTACATGGAGACCCCTCGAAATGCAGAATACCCCGCAAAAATGTCCTTGCCACGACTGTCTTTGGCAGACATGGATAACCAATATGGGTGAAAGAGCCAGTGAGTGAAAGGTATCATAGTTAGGCCTATCATAATCATTATCTGGAGACAAGACTGGAGAGAATAACAGTCTTTCCTGGAACAATTTATGTGAAAGGATGGTACTGTGATTCTTGCTGTTTGTGTTCCAATATGGAGTGCTCTTTTTAGACACGTGACTATAGCTTCACTGTTTTCTCCATTAGGAGAAGCACTTTTCATCATTTTAGCTAGATAAGAGCCTCGGACCCCTCCAGCGTCCATTTCCCCCCTAAACGCCATGTCTGACTCACAGCCCCTGAGCTGGGCTTGTTGTGTGTCTCAAAAGCTTTTAAAGAAGAAAATCAATGACTACAAAGCGCAGTAGAAGACTGTCAGTATTTACTGCAGAGCACATATTAGAGGGATCAAAGGAACTTTACAGCACATGAATGACAATTTTTTTTTATGGAAATGTTTCGATATGTGGTTTTGAGATTGAATTTGAGAAGTTATTGATAATGTACAGCAAAGGGTTTTTTAAAGAGGTCGTATGATGTGATTTCAATTTGTCCTTTCTCTTTGGAGTGTTACAAGCTCTTGGTGCATAAAGAAGATCTGTAAAGTTGCAAAGACTAAAGTCTCAAATCCAAAGAGATATTCTTTATAAAAGTTAAGAGTCAGCCACGCCTACCTAAAACGGCTCGTTCTAACACGCCCCCACATGTCTACGTCAC